TTGCAGCAAGAAGCTTCCCAAGAACATGGATCCTGGACTTGGGGTACAGTCGTGCGATAAGCAGTTGATCCGACGCCTACAAATGGATGTGATAATGGGCTGCACTTAGAGACACTGGAGATAACGAGATAGGAACACAGTCTTTCGCTTTTGAATCGAACTTACGAGAACGCCCATGTCGCATTTCGAGTGACATTTCCATATACTTTCTATTTCACAAAAGAAAAACGTCTTTTGGCTATGATGTGAATTGCGTACGAAGAAGCTGTCCAATTGTCTGGCGTGTGAGAGGAACAGGTGGCGATGGAAATTGGCAAAAGAGACGCGAGACAACAAGAGGCCTTTCGCTTCTTTTCTGGCTTTCGGAGCAAGCAAAGAGTCGGCTTCCGGAGATCTACGTGCGATGCAATGACAATATGAGTTACTTACGTTACGTAAATGGATCATAAATGAATTTATAATGATAAAATAAAAATTAATATGGGTATTAAATAGGTTCACAATTTATTTAGACTCAACTCACATCTGTAAAATACTCTTCACTCTCTCTCGCCCTCGCTCGATCTCGCGCTCACTCACTTACTCCGAGTTTCAATATGAGGTTTCCTAGATTTGATGGAAGTATCTTAGTATTATGGATCGGATATGGGTCAATTTGGATCGGATCATTTTTTATCCGATCTACCCGTTTGACAGGTCTAAGTGTGGGTGAGAGTTACGAGCAAAGACGGTCTCTTTTTGATACTTTTAAGATTTCGGTTTTTCTCTTTTTTTTTTAGATTCATGATGCCGAAAGCCTCTCCCGTTCCACAAATTTCTTCTCCAAATTCGGGTTCATTAGAGTATTTTTTGATCCCACCGAATGAATGGCTATTATAGATACAATTCAGCGGACTTGGGTCCAGGCAAGTATTTCTACGAGCTACTTTTTCAATCCCGAGCTTTCACCCAAACACCAAAATTAGATGAAAAATATCAAAAAGCATCGCCAGGGCACTTATAATCTTATTAATATGTTTTGAAATTGCAATATTATTTTCAGTTGAAACAAATAACTTTCTTATAATGTGTACCTCTTCATTTTTCAAAGATCTTCCCCGAAAATGTTAATTTTACTTTCGGTTAACTAGTTAACATGGCACTAATTTGATAGCCTCCGAGGGTCGTTCCAAAGGTAAATATTCGATGTGTTCTCCTTGCAGATTTGGTTTTGATTAGCAAAATTGCTTGTTTTATCCGGATCGTGTGAACCCACTTTATTTCGGTCATTAAATATTGTGAACCCCACATGGGAACCACATGATCTTATGATTAACATAAATTGGGCTCACTTGCTCTTAGATTCGGGCGCTCTATCCTTGGGTTATCCCCACAATGGTCCGGCTAGAAGGTCGACATTAGATAGCTATCAATTTTTGGCTGACATTTGATAAAGAGTTTGGTAGCCTACCAACTTGATTTTGATTTTTGAATTGATTTTAGGCCGTTTTGGGGCACACCATCAGCATTTTGATTTAGCCCGATGGACCGCACATTCACCACATTAGAATTGTCATTTTCTGGAGGGGAAATTATCCGATTAGTCCTAAATATATTGTACGGATGACAATTCAGTTTTAATTTTTTTCAATTTTGCCGATTTAATCCTAAGCTTTTGCGCTGTGGTCCTTCCAGTAAAATTTCGCTGAAAATCGCTAATGTAACGATGTGCCACATAAGATGACTGGCGATGATTAGACTGCCACGTCAACAATTGCTTGAGAAATTTGACCAAAATGACTATATTGAAATTTCACTAAAAAGTTTATGACTAAATTGGCCAAATTAAAAAATTTAGAATGAATTGGTATCCGTATAATAGATTTAGGCTAAGGGATTTTCATACTAGAGTTTCTGGGCTTGTATTTGGCATACCACCAGGCTCTACCTAGGATAATACCTAAACCTGTTACTTACCAAGCCCTCGCCACCGCCAAAAGTTACTAAAAGTGCTTTAATAAGTTGTTTCAAATCATTATATTGGTTCAACAAAACAAAAAAATCATTATATAGGTAAACAATCATTGGTTTAAACACATCACCCATATTTTTAAGCATAAACCCTTGCATATCATGTAAGTTATGATCGAACATTTACGATAGAGCCTTGTGACTAGCCAACTCATTTTCTCCAGGGTCTCATTTCATATTCTAAAACTCGTTCCCCAACTTTCGGACGCGATTCCCGCGGGTTGGTATCGGTTTTGGACGCTCCTTATTGCCATGAGCCTCTCGATCCTTAATTCCACGTTCTAAGACTTGTAGTTCGTGTTTTGGACGTGTTCTCCATAGTCTCGAGCATTCCCAATGATCCAGACATGCTCCCACAGTATGCCAACTTCTTTGGTCACGTATGCCAAACCGTTTTGTCATGTCTCTGACCTCTATCTTCATCACTTTCATATTTCAAGGATAACATTTGACGAGATAGTAACCGTCCTCGTACTTTTCTCATACTTCCAACTCATTTGGCATCATGCTAGCTGCTTCTGCCACGTGCATACCAACTGTTTCTACTATGTGTCTGCCAACTACTTGTGCCACATGTACATCAATCGCTTCTAGCATATCAATCTTCGTTCCCCTCCTCGATACTAGCCATCCATGGCAAACACGAATTTTGATGCCAACATTGGCCAACACCCATCTCGCACATGCGAATCCTCATATTGGTCAAACCTATGCCACTCACAATCTCACATAATTTTCGTGATATCTTATAGTTTTAAAGTTCTTCTGTTATTGAATATGATCGATGTCTCGCAAAATCAATGTTTCCCATACAATTCAGTGGGCAATACCACCAAGTTTACCACATGGTCAGCTAACTAAGAATCTCATATTCTATGTTTTTTTATGTGTGCTTGCCGTACTCATATTCTATAAGCACGATTGTCATCTTTATCTTATAATATTTTAGTTGCGAATGTACTATATAAGATAATATTGTCGCTGGGGGTTGCTTTCACGACCAAACTCCTATGGAGACCAACGAAGCAAATATGAGATCTTATGCTTCCTAGGTATCTTGAACTAAAAAACCAGCTTGAACTCGTACATGACGTGACAAATTTTGCATAGGGACAAGAGCGACTTATTCACTTGTCTTGATGAATTCCAACGAGGTCATGGTCGTATTGAATAAGTTGTATAGTCTTCGCTTATTCAATTTCCGCAAATAAATCTCGTGAACTAAGCATGCATTGACATGTGACAACCATCTTTACTTCCTTCGAAATTGAATCTTGTTTGCTAATCGAACATAACTCTAGTTAAATGTGTATAGGTAGGACATGTCCTTCTTCTGATAACATATCGTCAGTGTCTACCCGACAAAAAATAAAATCATCTCGAGTGAGCTCATAGTCTAACAAGACGAGAATAGTTATCGTTACAAAAAATTAGGCTTTGAGCATATCGTGCATTAGACTAACAAATGACAATCGAGATAGTTCCAAAGAAAAGTAAGAAAGAAATAGAAAATAAATATAAAATAGATTTATGTAATTTGGTTCGAAACAGTACTTACACCCACGAGGACTATGATCTAGGGAATTACAAGTACCGACAACACAATCTCGCGAGTATTTCCTGACACTAGATTAATCCAAGCAATCCCGAAAAGTGTACTTTCTCAATATTTCATAGTTATTGCAACAAGAAATGTCACAGAGAGAAACCCCAGCACTCCTCTTCAATGTGCTTCCTAATGCACATTAGCGTTTGGTGGAAGATTTCAATGTAGGGATCTCATAATCAACGCAGTTTAGGTAACTACCCTTACTCGACTTCAACTAGTGAGTTGAGCTAAGCTTCTATTAACTGACAAGCAAAATTACAATACTTTTGCTGCACAATTTTGATGTAGCACAGTTACAGTTATACCAAGTAAACTCTAAACTATGTATCATCGCAAAGCTCGTTAAAGGTCTTACCCACTTAATCACTGGGGATTGGCCACCCTTCCCACTTGAAAAGAGGGAGGTTGGGAGTTTGATTCTCCGCCTTCTCAGGGAGGCTGGGGGTAGAGGCGCGCGAGTGAGAAAACGGGGTTTTGAAACATGCACATAGCACATAGTACACATAGTGACTTGTAAAATAGAAATAGGATAAAACCAAATCAAAAAAAGAAAGGTCTTACCCACTTACGCTGGTTTCGAAGCCTAAGAATTAGATTTTCCCAATGTCAACTCTTTACTCAAAACTTCTGCCAAAATATGATCGTTAAACTAAGCTTTCAAATGAATGCGAGATATCTACAAATTCGAGTTCAAAGTTTAGCTTGCATTGATTTTGAAGTTCGAAACTGAACGGATAATAGAAAAGGTAAATCTCATATTTCCCTACAATTCCAGGTGGAGGGAATTAGCCTAAGGCAATTTCAATCGACCAATTTTCCATATAATGCATGGATTCCAAACATGGACATGGCCCAAAATTATATTTAGTTAAGTTTGCAACACATCATTAATCATAGTCCATCGATTCTAACCCATAAATTAAATGTTCGACGCGATAAAATTTGAAATTATTATCCAAGATTTTCAAAACCACATCCTTTTCATCGCCTCATTTAAAACATAGAACATGCTAAAGTAGTAGTAGTTCCACACTCCCCTTCTCTCGATAGCAACGTCATAACTGCCTTTGAATTTTCGATCACAAATTCATAATCCAGAGAGGACCATCCCATGTACGTACGGAAACACCAAAAACATCCGAATCGGGATCCGAATAACGAGCAACATTGTGGAGTCATTCGCCATATTCGATCCAAACGATCGAGGCCTCTTCCCATCCCACGGCCCCAAGTTCATATCCCCATCAAATCCGTCCACAGCCGTCGGATTCCCCAATCCCCTCTCAAGAATATTCCCCCCAACCCGAACATCTTATTCTTGACCTCTCTCCTGCGTCCCATCAGGTGAAAAACACCGGCAAATCACACCAAACGAAGAAGAAGAAGCAGCAGCAGCAGCAGCGAGAGTGATGACCGAAGCGTTGACGCGAGACTACCGAGTCTGCGAGGAGATCGGGCACGGCCGCTTCGGCGTCGTCCGCCGCTGCGAGCCCCTCCTCCGCCCCACCTCCGCCGCCCCCTCCTTCGCCGTCAAGTCCATCGACAAGGCCGCCGCCTCCGGCGACGACCTCGATTCCCACTGCCTCCTCATGGAGCCCAAGGTGCTGTCCCTCCTCCCCCCGCACCCGAACGTCCTCCGCATGCACAATGCCTACGAGGACTCCTCCCACCTCCACCTCGTCCTCGACCTCTGCGACTCCCCCGACCTCCACCGCGCCGTGTCCTCCGCCGGCCCCCTCCCGGAGCCCGACGCCGCCCGGGTCCTCGCCCAGCTGATGCGCGCCGTCGCCCACTGCCACCGCCACGGCGTGGTCCACCGGGACATCAAGCCCGACAACATACTCTTCGACTCCCGGGGCCGGCTGAGGCTCGCGGACTTCGGCTCCGCGGAGGTGATCGGCGGGGGGGAGCCGGCAGGGGCGGCGGCGGCGCTGAGGGGGCTGGTGGGGACGCCGTGCTACGTGGCGCCGGAGGTGGTGTCGGGGAGGGAGTACGGGGAGAAGGTGGACGTGTGGAGCGCCGGGGTGGTGCTGTACGTGATGCTGGCGGGGTTCCCGCCGTTCCACGGGGAGAGCGCGGCGGAGATATTCGGGGCGGTGCTGAGGGCGAACCTGAGGTTCCCGCCGCGGGCCTTCCGGTCGGTGTCGCCGGCGGCGAAGGATCTGCTCAGGAAGATGCTGTGCAGGGACGCTTCCCGAAGGCTCTCCGCCGATCAAGTCCTCAGTGAGTCCCTTCCTGCGTTTTCTCTCAGCCCGTTTAGTCAGAGACTTCTCGTTCTTTGTGTGGGTTTTAACTCTTCAGCGAAGTGAAAAAAACCAATCTTGAAGCTTCCATTTTTGCAGAGACCCACCTTCAATTAGTGATCTTTTAAAGCATCTAAACGGGTAAATCCATGTCATATTCATCAAGCCAGCTTTAAATCTACGACCCATGACGGTTCATCTAATCCTGGCTGCGATCATGAAATCCTTTAACTTTCCCACGTTTGAAACGACGCTTCATGCAGGGCATCCATGGGTGATCAGCTTCGGAGGAGCAGAAGCGACAGATCTCATCATCTAAACTCAAGACAAGACCTTCTACTCTGTGTATAGTCATTCACTGTGCAAAGGCGCCATAAGGGTGTGCAAATTGCAAAGTCGAGATTTGAGTTTCATGGGAAGGAAGCTTCTTGCGATTTTGTCAGACGATTCTCCGGAAGCGACCAAGATCTTTCCCCTGTTTTTTTTCTTCATCTGAGCGGATCGAACGAAGACTTGAACTGCGAAGCGCCGGTGCAGTTTCGGATCGCGCTTGTGGTCGTGATCTGATCTCCGTTCGGTTCTTGTTTTTTTTTTTTTTGTAATCGGGTCGTTCGGATATTCTAAGGATACGAAAGAGATACGATGTAGTTCCGTTCAAGACGCTACTACGTTTGGAGATATTATTGAATTTTTAAATGTGGTTTTATTTTTAAAAAAAAAATTTGCTCTTTGAATATTTCTCTCGAGTAATGAAATAATATATATATCTATAGTTTTTCATTTTTAATGCGCGATAAATATATACTTTTTACCTGCCGGTTTTAGGGCAGTGGGACGAAGACAAAGTTGGACCTTGCGGGCTCCGTACTCCGCTCCGTAGTTATCACCACCTTCCTACTTCCCGGAGAACTTTCCGCCTGGTGTTTTTGCCCACCACCATGAAAGTGATGCCATTCCCATAAGAAGTGAAAAGAAAGTGATGGCCCCTTTCTTTCTAGGAAACTTGTTCGATAAACCTATAACACACCCACTCTATCGGGTTCGGATTGTTAGAAACGACGGAAACTCGCGTGAGATCCGCACATTATTAGATCCGACGGTCAATATTCAGTTAATACATGTGTTATATTGCGATGTGGGAGTATAATGGCACCCCAGTCTACCGTTCCCTCTGAAAAGAAAGTAGTTAACGCGATTGGTTGAATGCTTTTTTAGGACCGTAAAAGGAACTCGCTGCATGCCAATGAGGCATCCGGCCCGGCGGCTGGGAGGTCAGGGTAGGTACGTCAAAGTCCCGGGTTCAAAACCCTGACAAAGCAAAACAAAGGAAGAACGAAACGAACTCGTGGCATTTTTACACACGCTGATTGCAACGAGTAGACCCTTTTCATGGGTGCCTCGGAAGCGTGAGGTTACATCTCCTCCACACTCAAATGAAATTTGGGTAGAACTCACACAAATTGTACGGCCGAAACAACACCCAATCGTTGATTATAGACATCCCGTGGGGTATATAATTTAGCGTTTGGTTCCGATTCAATTCGAATTTATTACAGGAGTCGTGCCGATCAATCTCCAAACGGTGTCTTCCACATTACTCCATGCATATATACGGGATGATTTGCATTTATCTATCAGAACTAATGAGAGAGCTGATAAAAATTCGTTTCAAATAGGCGATATATCGTCATGTAGTTGCGATCGTGCCATAAATATTTTCATTCATGGAATTACCTTTCTCAAGGTTGAATCCATCGTTTCCTATTTATTCTCACTTTTCTCGTATTAGTGAAAATATAATGATGAAGTCTCCCTCATTCCTCCTACTTGCCGTTCATTTGGTACTATAAAATGGACCGGATCCTTTCTATATCCCATCGTACGCAGAACCAGCTTACGTTGTGTCCGGTGTAAAAAAAAAAATAGACTAAGGTATGCTGTTGGACGTAATAATTTTAAGCGATACAAAACGTAAACTTCTTCGACAGCGACATCCGACCTTTGTCTTTAATCATTTCCCTACTAATTTACTATCGCTGCTGTCGTCCTCATCCTCATCATCGTTATTGTTTTCGCTGTACCAGCTAAACGATATATCGGGTCATCAATTAAGAATCCTTTCTAAGGCCGGAGGGTACCTAATCGAGCAATACCATCATAAATCGGTGGGCAAATACCACCATGCTAGGAACAAAAAATTGAGAGATGACCCCATCATCACATGGTCAAGTGACTAGGAATCTCAATACATTATCCTAACCTCCGATTATCAAAGCTATTAAAAAAACGGACACTCATGTGGGGAGTCCAACGAAGCATTCATGGAACCTTCTGTGCCCTAATCGAATATCTTGATCAGAAAAAAATTTCTTTGTGGGTAGGAGCTAAATTGAAACATTAAAGAAAACGACGTCGCAAGTTATTATAATTTCCGGTCATTTTCCGGGTCGATTTGCTGCGTAAGCATAGGCATTAAGTGACAAAATCGCCCCATAAGCATGACCGTGACTAACCCACTTGCCTTGTACACATATTGGTATTATTACTCACGCGTGCACGCTAGATTCTAAAATTCAAGACGACTATAGTCAGACGGTCTTCAGAAGATCTCTGATGTTCGATTCAACTCGGGAGTATTTATGACGTCATATTGTTTTGGACTGTTTGGTGAAGACAAATGCGGAGGCCTGTTTCTCTCTTTCACGGGTGATCATCAACCAACCGTCACATTAGCGGTTAGAACAGTTATGTCTCGTATTGCTGGAGCCGTCCAATAATTTGCATCATTGAGATTATTATAACAATTATTAGTACAGGCATTTTCTGGGAGGCACTAGGTTTTGTCGTGTTTTTGTTTTACTTTTTTCGACATGTTGCTTCGGAAGATAACATAGAGAAATCGAGGTTGTGACCTGACAAAGATACATTGGATTCCTTCTTTATTATTAGGAAATTAAAAAGAAGTTGCCAAATCAAGTTGTAGATCACTAGAGCTTGATTGTAATTTTTTTTATTTTCAAGCGTGAGTAGTGGATTGGTGGGGTCAAGTTCGAACTTGTAGCTTGAGTTTAGATTGGAATTTACTTATTGATGATCAACTCGAGTCGAGTATAGTTTGAACTTTAACATTCGTAGTCGTTCAAATCTCGACCACTGCATGCAAATTGCAAGATGATGGGTCTATAGGTAACCGGCCTTCTATCCCATGCCTCTATATTTAAAAAAAACATAAGAAAAAAAGATGTGGGTTCACGTGTGTCTAAACATATATATGTCCGGTTTGTGTTTCGTATCTAATGGTGGGTTTCTCTTGTTTAATTCGTGATACTTTCGTTTGGCAAAACATACTTAAAAAAATAACGGTGGGATGACCTATCAATAGCGTGAGTGGAACCGAAGAAAATTAGGTAGGAACTTAATTGGCAGGCCTCGTCCGGATTCAAAGTGCGGTTTAACTTATCTTTCTTGGATAGGGACGTAGATTGAAACTGATGGTATCAGCTATCAAGCGTTGGTATTGAATATTGATGGGTCCTTTGCTTTCTCACTCCTTGCATGGCCTGCCTCCTACCAAATTTTCAAATAATCAATCTAGAGAGAGATAGAAAGAGACGCATGGTCTTCTTGGCATGAAATCTTTCCATAGATCATCCTGATCGGGTTGCTATCGTATCGCCTGTCCAAGGACAAAAGTTGGGTGATCATTCATTACGCCTTCTGGTCGCAGCCAAGACGACAAAATGATGCGGGTCGGTCCTGTCGTTCGTGGGAGCTTATCCAGCGGTGACCTTAGAAGACAAAAACCAAGAACGTAGCCCCTTTCTCGAAGAAAACTTGGTCAAGAGTCGAATTGCAAGTTGCAACCATGCGTTGCGGTGGCTTTTCGATAGGTTCAAGTGATCACTTCACCTTGCGGGATGCAGAAAATTGAAGACTGTCGCACTAACACGTGAGATCAGGCGCTGCAGATCTATTTGACTACGCAAACACCGTAATCCGACCGTCCCAGACTTGTTCAAAATGTATCTCGAGCTTCAAGCTTTGGGGTCAATCTCGTATGCGAAAATCCTGAATTAGCATCGTTATCATCGATACACATACAATGTCTAGGAGAAGATTCATCTCTCGTTGTTACTCCAACTATCAACTATCGGGAGGGCACCCACACTACTAGTTGGCGCTTTCGACGTAAATGGCGAGGTCGCACGGTAACTTTCTATTGCGAAGTATCATCTTCATTTCGAAGTTACACATTTGAACCATCTTTTTTCTTGGAAAGGTTCCATTGCCATTTCTTTTAGCATGAATATCTTTGAGAAGATCTACTGCTTAACTTGGCATGAGAATCCACCAACGTGACAAATGAGCTTAGTGTTTGCTGGAATCAGTGATGAATGGTGGCTGGAGATGTTGCATGTCTTTCATTGAGGAAACTATAGTTTCTAGGAGTGCCAGTAATCATCACTAGAAACCTAAAACAAAGCTGATGACAATGTAGCATTTCATTTGCATCAACATCAAGCAAAGTCATATCACTTGCCATCAATATTATATCGCACAACCAATTTTCACTCGAGAAGCAATTTTCACCCGAGCAGCATCACAGCTACAGAAGCTCGCATTCCCCGTAACTTGGGATGTATCGTGGAGCAGCTCCTCGTCAGTCTTCTCAGGCGCCGATTATTTAGAGAGTTAGTTGTTTGTCTTACATATACTTTTAGTGTCGGAGAGATATCGCACATGATCAGAAACTATGGGTCGCAAATAGTAAACAATAGACCATGGCTTTTCTTTCTTTTGCACGAGAGTAAAGCGACCCCTAGTTTGCCCGTTCTCTGATAACTTCGAGATCCATCTCGGTAGGGTCGGTTGCTTGGATCTCGTAATGGATGCCCTCGAGCTCCCTTCGGAACCTGTCCTTGGACGTTGCATACAGCATCTTGGCGCGAATACGAGACACAGAAGGGGACCTAAATGAAAAAGGCAGACTTTTAGTATCGACCGGCAATGTTTATGATATAAATTATGTACATGGCATCATAGAAAGGGTCCAAGACATTAATGACAATTCTGCTCTGACCAGAATCCAAAGGCAAGAATGTCAAAATATTCTGAAAAAGAAAACAGAACAAGGGAAAGATAATTGCCAAAAAAACTGCCGCGAGCACATGTTATTACAGAAAGCATGCATATGGCATCAGATGCATATGCAACACGATAAAACTGCTCAGAAGGCAGTCATTGAAAAATGATCAATGTAGAAACATAATGGATTTTGGCCAATCTAGAAGTGAAACGGTTGAACAGTATTTTCCAGAAGAGAACATAGTAAATCGACTGTAAAAACAGATCGACACTGCCAAACCAAAATAACTACAAATTATGAAGAAATAATTCTGACACCTGAGTAAGCCGCTGTCTAAAAACCTCGACTAAACCAGCTGGTCCTACTATTTGCGGGAACTAATGTGAAATCCCATCTGATTTTGACCAGTGAAGTGAAGTGGTCAAAAATAGGATCGACCGGCATTAACTCGGTTCAACTGTGTCAATCCAGTTCTAACATAAGGAAAACTAGGGGGGGAAAATGGTGGTTTGTGAGGTGGTTTGAACCAATGATGTTCCCCATGATGCACCACACCACATTTCACTAGACCAAGCTCAGCAAGATTTACAGTGCTATTTTTCTAAATAATTTATTCCAGTGGGAGAAAATAATTTCCAAATCAAAAGTGCTTCAAGCAAGGTTTAAACATGGGTGCCCAAGTCTGCCTCCTATGGGTAAATGCGCTTGTGATTTCTGTCTGACCTGGGTTCTGCATATGTTGCCTGTGGCAAACAAAGGTACTTAACATCATCCTAGTACAGTTCGAATTTAGGATGGTTACAGTTCTACATTATACAAAAGTAACACATCTTTATCAGTCTTTCTTAATTTATTACAAGTATATGCACTCTAAAATAAAAATTTTATGCGCAATCCTATTTGGATAAAGAAATGCCTCAAGCAAGGTATGTTAGATTTTCAAGAGAATAAAAATAAAGATATCTTCTCCTCCAAAAGAGCTTCTTTTCCTATTCTTTTCAAAGCCAGACCTAATCAGTGCATAGCTAGACCATTCTAATTCCAAAACCAAGAATAGAACACTTACTTTGAAAAACACTATACATACCAGAGCAAGGCACTATTAACAAACACATCTAACAACAAGAAAAACAACCAAGTATTTTCCCACTAAATAGTTGTTCTCAGACAATTACCCTCTATCTAGTATCAAATCTTCCTTCAATGTACACCGAAGAAAGAGGAAATGGAGTGAAGTCCTTAGTAACTAGCAAAACCTAGGCCACCACAGGGAAGAAATACGGCATTTCAACTGATAACGAACTATTAGCTTGGGAAGGAACCTCCCATTATAACCCCATATCATTGGACAAAGCATTTGACTGGAAACCATAAAATGCTCTATGCTATTCTTCAGAAAGAACACAGATCAGAGAAGCAGAGAGAATCTAAAGGCATTGTGTCACCTACATCCCTCCAACACACAAGAATTGAAGTCTACTCGAAACAAAGAAACATCCTCTTCATTGGAAAGACCCCCCATGCATGCCCCTGTCCGTGCACAGAAGAATGACAACACAAAATAATTGGAACCACCTAAACCAAAATTAAGGAATTCAACCATGCAGCACCATGGATAAAGAGGGGCAAACCCACAAAGGTGATAAGCATGGAGTGCTCCTAGCTTGATAGAGCTGACTGTTATACTTGTGATGCTCATCAAGAAAAAATTGTAATCCGCATGGTTTAGAATCTTTAGATGCATAGGGCAAACCTAAGCTAAAAGTACCACATTTACATATGTCATTCAGCATTTAAAAACATAATCAAGAAAAAGCTAGTATGAGACCCATACAAATCGAGACTAATAAATTATATTAGTTTGACAAGAATGTATCTTACAAAGCAAGCAAGAAAAATTGAATGAGATTACAAACCCAAATAATTTCTTCCACACTCAGAATGTTGTCCAAAAGAAATTTACACCAATTAAGATGCACTGATTCATAAATAATATTTGATTGAGCAAAAAATCTGAAATCTCTAACACCTATGCAGGCACAAAGCAGACCAGCGTATGAGCCAACAAATCCAGACAAGAAAAATGCTTGAGAGACAATTATTTAAATGCTTAGACAACCCACGCAGGAATGAACATGTGCATAAATTTTCAGCACTTTCAGTCCAAAAAACAAATGACCTAAGACCATGTATTGTGATTGTGGCACAGGGAAAAGGCTGGAAGGGTAATGCAGTGAATGCACGGTCATGGAAGTAGGTCATCCATGACATTTCAAATAAGCAGCTGGAAGAAACTCACCACGCAATGAAAAAGATCTTGCTCTTTTGACAGTTTTCAGAAGTTACAAAGTCAAAGTCATAGACAGCATATCGGCAGTCATTCTCTGGCAAAGAGGAGGTGAAATCTTCATAGCTTTCAGCTGGACCCCCAGTCTTCTCAACCACAACCTCTTTTTTCTTCTCATCGATCTTAAAAATCACATAGCGGTGAACCTTCTTCCTCTGCAGTTCCAGATAAGTTGTCTTGCTGTGTTCAGCAACACCCATTCCAGACGAAGCATTTGTCTGATCAACACAAATTATTAGTTTTTCCCCTCTTCAATAGCCATCTAACAAAAACTCCGTACAAGATACCGAAATATCTTCCTTATAATCCTAACAAGACCACGATCCTGAAAGATAAGTCCAAACCAATGTACATGCAAATGCATAGAAATCGTCTTACTGATGGTTCTAGCAGCAACCGTCACGGCTTTCACAGCATCTTTTTTCAGCTTTTACAGAGTTCACGCAGACAAAGTGAACAAGAACATTATAACCTAACGATAATGAGATAAACAGCGCAAGAGCCCCTCGATTTAAAGACACCTTCCATGCTACCCAAAGGGAATCTCTTCTTCTGAAAAAAGAAGGCTATTCCAAGCTAAAACGATTTTTCCCAACAAAGTTCAGAAGCCGACTGACACTCCCAGACTCAAATCAACAAGATCAGGACACAGCCCGGCAAAGTCATGCTCCACGGGATCGTAGCACAAGTCCAAACCAAAGCAAAACCCAAGACAAAACGAAACAAAGAGCAGCTTACAAATTTAAAGAACCAAACGAACTAGATCTAACAAGAGAAACCAACATAGCGAAGAGAGCAAGGCATGCATAATCAAAAGAATCGGCGAAAACAGAGAGCTTACCCCTCTGAACGACATGGCTGCTCCTACCACACTGTAGCTAGAGAGAGAGAGAGAGAGAGAGAGAGTCGGGGGGGGGGCGGGGCAGGGAGCGTATGGAGGAAAAATGGGGAGGAAAATCAGCAACTGGGAAGAGGAGAAATTATCGAAAGGAAGGATTTTTTTCGATCATCATCAACCAACTGGAAAACAAGAAAAGGCGAAAGAGATATATTCGTTGGACGGTGGTGGGTGGTGGTGGTGTGCAGGTGAGGAAAGGGGAGAAGCGCGAGATTCGAGTTTTTTCAAAGGAAAAGGAGAGGGTACGACCTGTCGTGTCGTGTCGACATTCTTTTCGGGGACAAATGTAAGGCAGGGTGCGTATCCAGTGCGGTCGGACCAGAATCGCCGGTTCAGCCTAAGCCGTTGGATCGATCTCTTGCATCGGAAGAGATGATGGAGTTTTTTTTTTTTATTGGTAGAATGGATGAGTTGGAGTTTTTTTTTTTTTTTGTCGAAGATGAGTTGGAGTTGAAATGAGTAAAAGTTCTTGTTGTATTGTTGTGGGAGCAATTTGACGTGGAAATTTGCGATTGGTTGGCATCAAATTCTGAAAAGAAGTTCATGATTAGGGACAAATAAAAAGGACACATGAAAATTAAATTTGTATTCCGGCCAGCTTAATCTCCATGATCGGCGTAATTGGTTCAAATTCACCTGCTTAGATCAAAGGCCCGAAACTAACCGATTAATGGTGGTTGCAGGGTGTTTCATGAGCATCTGAGTAATCGGATCGTTACGCTCATGCCCCTAGATTATTGAAAAGAACAGAGGACTAATTTGGGATGATTAGGAATAAAGACAGAGATGAAAAGTAAAGTCCAAAGTGTGTGTGAGTGAGGAGGAAATGTTGGGTGGTCCAAGCACTCCACGTCAGCATGGTCCCCAACCATTCGGGAAGCGACACTCCACGTCAGCATGGTCCCCAACCATTCGGGAAGCGACACGTGGAGCTGTAAGACTTGCCAGCAAACAAATTGAAGCACAAAAAATAAATTTCTCTCTTTTGCTAGCCTACATACACTAGCCCTAGCCCCCCATGCTCTCTCTCTTATCCTCTCCACACATTTATTTCTTTCACATATTCTCTCTCCTCTTTCCAAAGAAGAACAGCAAACCTCCCTAGCAAACGCTTTCAAAATTTTGAATTTCTTTCTTGACTCTCATATTCCGCTACTCCTCATTGCTGCTCCGGCGTTCGTCAAGCGGCCATTCCCTTGTTGTCGCTGACAAAGCACATTAAAGCCGCCCCTCGCGTGCCCGAAAGGGAGTGAGGCAGAGGCCAAGGGGCGGGTGACCGCCCTCTAAAAGAGCTTCGGGTTCTCAAAATTCTTTGGGAGCAAGTAAGAGCTTGGGGACGAGGTTGGGATAGGGCTTTTTTTTTTTGGGTTGAAGGCAGCAGCTCCCAAGGTGAAGGTTGCTGCTGCCGCCACGCCTAAATCAGCTACGAAGCCGAAAGCTACGGTGGGCGTGAAGAGAAAGGCAACAAAGAAACTGAAGTTGAAGCCCACGGCAAAGGCGATGCCTAGGAAGAAAGCTGTGAAAAAGGTTACCAACGTGAAGCTAAAGAATACACCAGTGAAGAGGCCGAAGAGCGTGAAGACGCCAGTGAAGAAGGCCAAGAAGTGAGTTAGTACTGTATTCTTTACTAGCGTGAGGCAGAGGCCGAGGAGAGAGGGTTGCCTGACCCTCTCGGTTCTGGCGAGGGTCGTCGGCCTCATGAGGCACCGACGAACCCATCGGCCATGGCCGCCACCCCACCGGCAATGAGGTGGCGGCCACTGCCAAGCATCCCCCTTTGTTTTTTTCTTCTTTCTTTTAACTATAGCTTCTTTTTTTGAGCTTTTTTATGGAAAAAAAAAACACAAAAGGAAAAACAAAAAATCAAAATCAAAAATTAAAAAATTAAAAGATGAAAATGCCCTTGACTTCAGGGAGGTTAGTCCATTTTTTGAGATTGAGATTGCCACTTCAAATCCTTATTTAAGACAATGTTTATTTTAAGCTTTTATTTAAGAAAATGACGACACTTCAAGCCCTCATTTGTAATTTTTTCTATTTTTTTTTATTACTGCTAAATTTTTGTTTCATGAAAATCACATTATTGAGCATGTATTTGGGTGGAATTTGGTCACGACTGACGTGACGTAATCATAACTGCTAACAGTATTGGAAGGGACTTTTTATATGAGAGCTCCATAAAAAAATGATTTCACAACATTTTGAATTTGTTTCATTGCATCTAATCGAAACATGTAAGTTTATGTTGAGTAATATTCGCGAAAGACATTTGTTGAGTTCTAAGTTAACTCGAAAAGGGAGTTAAGATTACCTTTAAAAGAATGGAAAAGACCACCAAAAACTCCAAACTATGCCACATGTGACACATTTACCTTGAACTTTTTTTTGTGCCATCAAAAACCTCAAACTATGCTATTTGTGACATATTTACTCCAACGTACTTTAGTCCATGGGCATTTTCGTCTTTTTTGCTTTTTTTTTTTTTCCGTTCCGGCGAGGGTGGCCCTCGCCGGCATCGGGCGAGGGTTGCCCTCGCCTGAGTTGGGCGAGGGCCGTCCTCACTCGTCCAGGCGAGGCGACCCTCGCCCGACTCAGGCGAGGGCGGCCCTCACCGGATCTGGCAAGGGCGACCCTCGCCCAACGCCGGCGAGGGTCACCCTCGCTTGAGTCGGGCGAGGGCCACCCTCGCTCGCCCAGGCGAGGCGACCCTCGCCCGACGCCGGCGAGGGCGGCCCTCGCCGGATCTAGCAAGGGCCACCCTCGCCAGACGTCGGCAAGGGCCACCTTCGTCGGAAAGGAAAAAAAAAAAGAAAAAGCAAAAAAGACGAAAATGCCCATGGACTAAAGTACATAAATGTGTCACAAATAGCATGGTTTAGAGTTTTTGGTGTCACAAAAAAAAGTTCAGGGTGAATGTATCACAGGTGGCATAGTTTGAGGTTTTTGGTAGTCTTTTTCCTTAAAAGAATGATAGAGTTCTGATTACGTGGATATGACGTTAAGCATAGGATGTTGCTTCACATTATCAATTTGCGTAGAAAAATGAAAATTTTCAAAATAAAGAAAGAAAACAATGTGACCTAAGTTATTTAAGGAAATTATATTAAATTGCCATAAGAATGTATGGACTTTTTAGAAATCAATTAGGAGTGAAAAGGCTAGGCCAGCGTGATTTTGTTGGGTCGTCATTTTAAGATTTTAAGGGTGCGTTTGGTAACTCAGAAATTATTTCTGGGAATAAAATGGTTACCAAACGCACGTTAAACGTGGAATTTAAATTACATTATTCTTTTTTGTTCTTCTTGGAATAGTTTTGAGTTTATATACACGATACTTTTTCTTTGATTTGCAAGCGAAATGTCACCTGTATTGAATCTCCTCCGATCAAAACCCACCAGACCCTTTTCTCAAAAGAAAATCATCAAGCCAACGATCATTTCTAGCAGATGCAAAGAGGAGATTGACTTTGTGCATTGACTTTTCAGAAATTGCCAAAAAAACAAAATTTCCAATCATTCATCATCAGAAATTATTGGGTGAGAAAGTACCCATAATTTGGCAATGGGCCTAAATTTGGAAGATCATGGGCCGTTGAAATCTGATGCCATAAATTGTTCACCAGAAGGTTCCGTATAAAGAAGGGTCATGATTTACCTAATGTGGTGGGCTAAAAATAGATTGAGCCCTTAAATGATTTTTTGCTTTTGGAATTTCAGCTAGAAAGCTCGGTGATTTGCAAATTTGGGTTAAATCAAAACGAGCCTAGGCTCATCAAGTCGGCCCGTGTAACACCCTCACCTCGGGGTCATTAACGTGACGTCCTATTCATTGTTATCTTTCTTTACACACAAGCGGAAACATAATTTCGAGACAATCACATTCAGAACAACAACGGAATTTAGATAAGCAGCATCATGAGCAAACCTTATGTTTACAGCGCATGCAAACATATTTTAACAAGCCCTTCGGGCCATGGCAAACAACACATATTTCACACGCATATTCTAGAGGCTCATCCGTTCCTAGCTGACTATGAATAGCAAAACTCGGCTTGGGTTATCCTATTCCCTCTACTTCATCTTCTCGCTTCTAACTCCATCCACATCTCCTCCCCGCTTCCCATCCGCATGGCCGATCCACACCCCACCTGTGGCATGCCCCAGAGCCGGCCCACCTACACCGCCAAAAGGTCAATTGAATCCACGTAGGGGTCCAACCCATTCTCCATCAGTGTAGCCATGCCATGCTACGTACGGGTGAGGCACCAAGTCCGTTAGGCCCTCATCAACCATCACATACGTCGTGATCCGGCAGTAGGCTCGACCTTCTCGAGCATCTATCACGGTGAGCACTTCGGCTCTCATTTTCACGGGGTTGTCGAACCGGGTCAGGGGAGACGCCATTCTTCGGACCTGAAAAGGAAACAACGAGGGATGAGTCGGGGAGACTCAGCAAGTAAACCTACTAATATCAAGCGAGGATGAGGGGATCGCCGTTAACATAAGTCGGCTCTTACCGCACCCGCATCAATGGCAGATCAATAGCAAAGTTCATACAAGAGAACACCACGCATGGCTATAGCGTGTGCACTTTACCAGCCAAATTTCGGTTCTAGCTCAAGACAAACATCAAACATGAAACATGGTCAAATCAAGGGATTGAACCAACTACGACCAACCAAATGATCGAGAAATGATCCAAGCAAACCGTGTCACAATGCATCACAACTTCCTTTCCCAATATTAGGAAGTTTACTTACTCTATGAAATAGAACTAGAACAAGAAAGGAACACGGGAGTCTCGGCGAATCTCGGGTGATCTTCGTCACGTGTCTTGAGCTCGTGGAAGGTGGGATCTCGATCTGTTCTTGGGCGTGAGCTTTCTTGTTTGGCCGAACAAAGAAAGGGAAGATTCGGTGGGTCTCTCTTTCTTGGGCGTGAAATGAGAAGAAGACGGTGATGGCGTGAGAATGGAGAGAGTGACGTGAGAGAGCTTGAGGGTGGCCATACAGGTGGTGTCTTCTCCTATTTATAGAAGTTCTTTCTTGCTCCCTACTCAAGGCCATTAAAGCTTTTCATTATTAAGGGCCTCAAAGTCAAGAGTAATAATGGCCATTAATGCATGTCATGATGATGGTGCCTCCAAAGTCCAACTAATTAAGGCTTGTCATCATGAATAGGGCTTCTAAGTCAA